GGCGACCGGTATATCGAAGGCACAAAAGAACAATGTTGGACGCTCCGAGGGCCTTCGATGTTTCTCCGTTGGGGAGAGTCGTCGTAGGATCGACGATTGCCGACCGAGGGCAGCGAATCCAGTGGAGGCCCAAGAGGCCCGCAGGAGCCCAAAAGAGATCCCCAAGAGGTGCCACGGGGCTTAAAAACTGCTTCGAAGCGAGGGGGCGGACGAGGGGACCGCCTCAGGAGGTTTTGGACGGTTTTGGGCCTCAAAATCGTCCGCTTTACGACGGTTTTGGAAGGATTTTGGCCTTCTCGCCTTTTCCGCTTTCCGACGCTCGAAGACGGCCCAAGAGGCCTCCAAGAGCGCCCCAGAACGGCCCAAGAGGTTTCCAAGAGCGCCCCAAGACAGCCCAAGAGGGCCCCAAGACGACCCAAGAGACGCTCAAGACGGCCCACGAGGGCCCGAAGACAGGCCCAAGAGGGGGCCAAGAGGGGGACCACGGACCGAAAATCCGAGCCTTCCGCCCCAAGAGGGCGCCAGGAGGCCCAAACAGGCCCCCAAGAGGCCCCAAGGGGCCGCCAAGAATCCCCCGAAGAGGCCCCAGGAGGCTCCCAAGGAGCCCAAACGAGGCCCCAACAGAGGCCCCAACAGCTTCCAAAATGGCCCCAAGAGGCCTCGAGCCCGCCTCCGAGCTTCCTCGCCGCGAGGGTGCCAACACGGCCCCAGACCGGCCCAGGACGGCCCAAGGCGCGCTCAAGACGGCCCAAGACGATTCCAAGACGGTCCCAGGAGGGTGCGCCCAGGACGGCCCAAGGACGCGCCCGTTCGGGGCCTCAAGACGGGCCAAGATGGCAAGAGAGTCCCAGCTGGCAAAAATCGTTAATTTTCCATTGTTTACTGTTACACCCTTTGCGTTTCCCGCCGTTTCGGCGGTCCGATGCACCAAGAGGCCCCAGAAAGTCCCAGGAGGGTCCGAGGAACCGCCCAGGAAGGCCCCAAGACGGGCCAAGACGGACCCAGCACAACCCAAGGCGCGCTGCGACGGCTCAAGACGGCTCCAAGACAGCCCCAAGAGGGTGCCAACACGGCCCCTGCTGGGCCCAGGACGGCCCAAGGAGGCGCACAGGAGGGGCCCAAGACGACTCCAAGGCGGCCTCCTCACGGTCCCAGACGGCTCCAAGACAGCCCCACGAGGACCCCGATGGGCCCAGGACGGCCTACGGACGCGCCCATGAGGGGCCCACGACGAACCAAGACGGCCCCATCAGGGCAAACGGCGCCCTCAAGACGGGCCTAGACGGCTCCAAGACGGCCCTTTGAGGGAGCCAACGCGGCCCCACACCCTTCGGGCGCACACTTGGGGGGGCTGGGAGCTTGCGACAAGTCTCCCACATTCATTGTCCTGCCCCATTCTGTTCGCCTGGAGGCCTCCTCCAACCCTGTGGGCGAACAAGAGGAATCCCAGCGGGACGCCAACCCTGGGCCCGTGGGCCCCGCGCCGCTTGGGCAGAAGACGAACGCCGGGTCTGACAGGCCAGCTACCGCCCCCCTTTGCCCGATATGCTGTGCCATTCTGTTCCCCCAGGGGCCTTGGCAAACTCTTCGGGCCAAGCAGACCGGACCCCTGGGACAGCAGCCAATTGATATGACCCTGGGACCTCTCCGCATTCTTCGGACGAGCATCTGGGGGGCCCAGGAGATTCGGACATGTCTTCCCCATTCCTTGCCCTGTCCCGTTCTGTTCGCCCGAAGGCCTCCACAGACCCTCTGGGCGAACAGAATGGGACATGGCGAACAAACCCTCCCGTTGGCGGTGATGCGACTGGATCGCACCATCAAGGCGCGCCCGGAGGTGATGGCCGACCCAACAGCGGTTTCTCTTAAGAGTTCACTGGATTTCAAATTTTCTTGAAGCTCTCTTGGGCCCTCCCTGTAGATCCTTGCGAGCCTCCCCGGCGCTTTCGGTGGCTTTCCCCGATGGCCTCCCGAGCCCTTCCCCGAGCGCTCCTGAGACGCCTCAGATGGGCTTCGACTTCGACGCACATCCCCGAGAGACTTCGAAACTGTCCTCAATAGGAGGGGGGTGAACGAGCAGTGCGCTGGGCCAAGCTGCTGGAGCGCTGCAAGAGCTCGGACACGAAGGCGCGGTCTCGCTGCCGCCGCCCGAGCCGCCGCCGTGTTTGTAGATTTTCGGTGCAATCTGCGCCGTTCCTCCGAGAACCAATCCAGAAAGATGTCGTGGACGGAGTCCACGGGTCAGCCTTATAGTCTCTACTACATTGCAGGGGCACGTGCGTGCGGGAAGGGCGCAGGCTCAAATGTCTCAAAACCGCCCCGGGCTGGCCCCGGGCCGCCCCGGGCCGCCCAGGCAGGCTCCAGGACACGTCGAGAGGGCCCCCAGAAGCCCCCAAGACGGCCCCGGAGAGCCCCGGCACGCTTAAAGATGGGCCCAAGACGCCCGAGATTCGCCCCAGGCGGCCCAAGAGGCGTCCAAGACGCCCGAAGAGGCCTCCCAAGAGGCCTCCCAAGAGGGCCCCGAGCGACAGAAATAGTAGATTTCTACTGTGTTTTTCGATGTTTTCGGCCTCCTCGCCTCGTCGGCTTCCCGACGCTCCAAGACGGCCCAAGAATCCCCCCCGACCGCTCCAAGACGGCCGAAGAGGACCCCAAGAGAGCCCCAAGACGGGCCAGGAGGGCCCCCAGACAGTCCCAAGACGCCCCAGGACGGCCCCCGGACGGCCCAGGAGACGAGCCGCCGCCGTGTTTGTAGATTTTCGGTACAATCTGCGCCGTTCCTCCGAGAACCATTCCAGAAAGATGTCGTGGACGGAGTCCACGGGTCAGCCCTAGTCAGCTACAGCGCTGGGGTCAGCGCGTGCGCGAAGGGCGGGCAGTGGCAGCCAGCGCTGGCGCTGCTGAGCGAGATGGGTAAGGCGAAGCTGGAGCCCGACGTCATTTGTGCCACAATTTTGGCTGAAGCGCGTGCGAGAAGGTCTTTTGTTCGAAGACCCGCCCTGGGGTGCCTCGAGAGCCCGCGGGGCATGCGAAAAACACATCTGGGACGCCAAACCACACCCTTGGGCGCCTCCAGGACGCCCCCCGACAGCTCTGGAAAGCCCCTGGGCCGCTCGTCGACGGCTCCTGGGCCCGCAGCGCGGCTCCCCCGAGCCCCGACACCTCCAAAAGGCCCCTGGGCCGCTCGCCGACGGCTTCCTCGCCCCCAGCTCTGCCCAAGACGGGCCCCCAGACGGCTTCCCGCAAGCCCCAAACCAAACCCCACACCCCACACCGAGCCCCCGACACCTCCAGAAAAGGCCCCTGGGCCGCTCGCCGACGGCTCCCTCGCCCCCAGCTCGGTCCAAGACGGCCTCCCAGATAGCCTTACGCACGCCTCCCGACGGCCCCAGGTCCCTGGGCGCTCGCCGACGGCTCCACAACATGCGCATCGCCCCGAGACGGCTTCACGCAAGCCCCAAACCAAGCCGCATACGCAACACAGAGCCCTCTCGCCCCCCGACGGCCTCCCAGATGACCTCCAGGACGCCCACCAACGGCTCCAGAAGGAACCTTCCATGACGCCAGAAGTTGCTCAACTCCATCCCAGGCCCTGGAGCATTCTGAACTTCCCCAGACCCTCTCGGGAGCTTCTTGTCGACCCCAGCAGCGGCCGCGGCATACCTTCACGGTTTCAGATACTGTTGTTACCCAGGCCTCGTAGTGTTGGTGACACGGGGGGGGCCTTTCTCAACCGCCTCGTGTCGCTCCACAGCCGCACCACGCTCCAAACCCCGCCCTGGCGCCCAGACCACTCCGACCACTCTAACCTGCCGCACGCACCACCTGGAGCCCTAGACCATTCCAAGCTGCCTCAGGCCCTCTCAAGCGCCTCCTGTCGTACCCCAGGCGCACCATGCCCCAGACCCCAGCCCAGACCCTGGACCACTCTGAGCTCCCCCTGCCCTCCTCTAGAGCCTCACGCGCGGGTTCCGGACCTCTGAGCCCTCGGAGCTCTTGCCGGGGGCCCCCAAACGGTGTGGTGACCACACCGTGCGGTGAGTCGGTAGGGATTCGGGGCCACCGCACGGTTTTGGGACTCGGGCCGTTCTCCGAGGTCGGCTCGGGCGACGGGGGCCTCCAGGGTCCCAAGGCCGTGCGGTCTCGGACCGTGCGGTGAGGCCTTGGGGGATCTCGAGGTCACATCGCACGGTCCGTCACCGCACCTTCTGGGGACTCCAAGAGTCTCGAAGACCCACAGCTTCGCGAAGCTTCCCAGGTCCGACGGGCTGTCCTGCGGCGGCTCCGTCGCGCCTGCCTTGGATGTATGCGCTCCGCGGGCCGCCCGGCGAGTTTGCCAGGGCGCCCGGCCCCAGAGCGAAGATCCCTCAGACCTTCACCCCAGGCGCCCAGGCTTATGTCGGGCGTGTCCCCCTACAGGGGGAGCTTCGACGAAAAATAAGCAATACCCCCAAAAATACCCCAAGAAGGTCAAAACATAGTAAAAAATAATCCGCAGTTTGGACTTTTTTTGGATTCTTTTTTGGGTATTTTTTATGTTTCGTCCCTGCAGGGGGACAGGCCTGACTTAAACCCAGGCAGGGGTGACAGGGGGCACCTTCCCTGGGTCCAGAAGCCCCCAAACAAGCCCTGGACCCCACACCATGCCCTCTAGACCGCTCCGACCGGCCCCAGAGCCCCTCAGAAACCGTCGGATCGTGGACCCTCATCTCCAGTACTGCTCTTCTCCTCCTCCTCCTCCTCCTCCTCCTCCTCCTCCTCCTCCTGCAAGCGGCTGCAGCGAGACTGGACTGCGGGAGGCCTTCGATACCACAAGAACCCTCCAGGGACCACCCCGAGATAGTCCAGACCCTCCAAGGACACTCGAAGACAGTCACCAGCCCTGGAGCCTGGAGCTTGCAGCAAAGCATTGAGCAAACCCGCAGGCGTCGGGAACACATGGGCGTTCGGGACCAATACATTGACTTGCCAGCCGTGAAATCTCTACGGGTTCACACTAGTCAGCTACATCGCTGGGATCAGCGCGTGCGAGAAGGGCGAGCAGTGGCATTGGGCTCTGGCGCTGCTCGGCGAGATGTGGGGGGCGAAGTTGGAGCCCAACGTCATCTGCTACCAAGCTGGGATCAGCGCGTGCAGAAACAGCGAGCAGTGGCAGCGTGTTCTGGCGCTGCTCAGCGAGATGTGCGAGGTGGAGTTGGAGCCTGACACCATCTGATACAGCCGAAACCGAGAATAGGGATGGGCAGCCTTCCCACAGGTACCCTTGCATCCTGGCCTCTTCGGTCTATCCTGAACCGCTTTCGATGGCCAGCCCCGCTCAGAAGGCTTCGACACTGGCAGCCAAGGGTCTTGTATCCCTGTCGCGCATCCTAACTATTATGTGGGGCCTGTCCCTCTACCGGAGGAATATAAAAAATGGTCAACAGATAATCTGGGGACGATTTTTTGTTTGCTATTTTTGCCAATTTGGGGGATATTTTCTGACTATCTTTTGTTTCTCGCCCAAAAGATCCCCCTGTATGGGGACACGCCCGGCTTAGCCTTACTACCAGTTTTGACCCTACGCAGCGCTGGGGGTCGTGCGTGCGAGATTGGCATCCGTGTGCTGCCGGCTCCGCTCGGGCCGCGCCGCCGATCTGGGCGCTCCGAAGGTCGCCAGGCGGCTCCGGGTCGGCGTCAGGGACCCTGGGATTGCGCTCGAGAGGCCCCGCGAGGCCCCACGAGGCGAGCGTGAGGTCCCAAGAGAGGCCAGCAGGAAGCCCCAAGACAGGCCCCGGGCAGCAAATATACTTGAGCACCGCCGGGCTTTCCGCTGTTTGTGGCGTCCCGGCCCTTTCGGCTCGAGATCGCCTCAGGAGGTCCTCGCACGGCCTCGGAGTGCCCCAAGAAGCCTCCAAGACAGCCCACGACTTCCTTCAGAGAGTCCCAAGAGAGGGCCCCAGATTGTCCAACAGAACTTTCTTCTCGACGGCCCAAGATGTCTCCAAGAGAGCTTCGAGACAGACCCTCCCCCTCAAATGCTGACACTAGCGCCCAACAGAGCCCCAGCACTGCCCTCAGATCCAGCAGCTGCAAAGCCAGCAGCAGCCATGCACAGCCGGCAGCAGCGAGCAGCAGCCAGCAGCAGCCAGCTGCAGTAATCAACAGCAGACAGAACTGGGAGCAGCCCGCAGCAGCAAGCAGCAGCAAACTGCAGCAGATTACGAGCGCATCACGCATGGACAGCAGCAGCAACCGACAGCAAGCAGCAGCGCCACGCCGTGGGAAGCATCAGCAAGCACCAGCAAACGGCCGGTAGTAGCAGCAACATGCAGCACGTATCAGCAAACAGCACGAAGCGTCAGCAAGCGACAGCGAACGGTCTAGCAACTAATGGCGCATGTCAAGACATCAGACAAGCATACCGGCACGCAAGACATCAAGCAGGAGAGACATTTATCAGTCCAGCATTCCAGCAGCCACACAAGCAGGACAGCATGCCGGCAAGCAAGCAAGCGATCCTCACATTCGCATGCGAGCAAGCTTTCGCGCACGCACGTCCCTGGGTCAGCCCCAGTCATCTACAGCGCGGCTTTGAGCGCGTGCAAGAAGGGCGAACAATGGCAGCGTGCTGTGGCGGTGCTACTGAAGTTTTAGCCCAGCGCCATCTTCTGTATTGCCAGATGCAGCGCGGGCCAGAAGAGTGTTATCATGAAGTGGCCCAAGATCGTCGGGCCGGCCACAGGGTCGCAGCGGGCGGGCCCTCAGATGGCCCGCTTTACGGCGGGCCCTCAGATGGCCCGCTGTACGGCCTCAAGAGGCCCCCCACGACGGCCCAGACGTCACGCGTGAGGGCCCCAGTAGATCCCAAGAGTTATTTTGTTTAAAATGGTCGAAGGGGCCCTGAAGAGGACCAGAGAGCTTAGGACTGCCTCTGGGTGGCCCCTGATGGTCCCAGAATTGTCTCAGTGGGCCCATCAAAGCACCCCAGCCATGAATACTTCAGCATTGGATACTTCAGCACCCCAGCAATGAAATTATCTGGCGAGGACTCAGCCCCCCAAGAGACGCGAAGAGGCCGAGAGGACTCCCAGATGCCAAGATGTTCCCAGCGGGCTCCCAACACCAATCGGTCGTTGAAAGTAGGTAGTTTTGGATTCCCAGAACCCAATCTACTTCAAGCGCCTTCCTACTCCAAGAATCGATGCGGTTTGGCTGTCGTTTGTTGTCCTTCTGGCGGGCCCGAACCCAATCTACTTTATCCGCCTCTCTACTCTGTGCTTTTACTTACTTCTTCTTCCGACCGGCGCGTGCGGCTCAGGAGGGCGCCAGGACGACGCCCCCCGAGACAGCGCGAGAGGGTCCCGTGAGGCCCCATGATGGCCAAGGAAGTCCAGGAGGGCCCCAAGAGGCACCAACGCCAGCCCGGGAGGATCCTGCTCTCAAGGGAGTCCCAAGACGCTGCAATGGGGGCCTTCCACAATCCCTCTTAAAGGCCCCCCAGGAGGCCCAAAGTCAGCCTGGGAGATGGCCGCCAGAGAGCCCCCAGAGGCCCGGAAGGAGGGCTCGTATATATCGTTCCTCCTCTTCACCTCCGCTTGCTCCCTAGCATCCCATGCAGTGAACTCTTGTTTGCGCGCTACATCCACTAGGAGCCGTAGCCATTTCGCCATTTCGGCTCAAGTTCTGGCCCACGCGCAACGACCACAAGGCATCGGCAGCGCCGCTACTTCCCGAACCCCAAGCAGCAGGGATGGCGCCAATGATGAAGTCCACGGTCATGACCAAGGGCGCCCTCACCGCAGCGCTCGCGGAGGCCTGCGAGGTGAAGAGGGGCGTGATCAGCACTGCCTTGAGCACTCTCGCGAGCATCGCAACGACAGAGGCGAAGAAGAACGGCAAGTTCGTCATCCCGGGCGTTGTGATGATCAAGACCCGCCAGAAGAAGGCGACCAAGGCCGGGAAGCGCGAGATCTTCGGCAAAGTCGTCATGGTGAAGGCGAAACCGGCTAAGACTATCGTCAAGGCCTTCCCCGCGAAGGCCCTCAAGGACGAGTTCTGATGTCCCCCCGGTCTTTGGTGAGCCCTGCGAAGGGGCTCCGCGTGTGTTCCCCCCGCTCGTCCATTTTCCTCCTTCCCTCCGAGGAAACACCGTGTATTTTGTCTTGGTTCGCTGGAGGGTGCGTGGTCATGCATGGCCTTCCATCCCAGGTCGCTCGGCGAGAGCGATCACATGTACTCTATCTCCGTCTCGCCGGGAGAAACAAAACAACTAGGAGCGGGCCATCCTCAGTTATTTCGGGAAGGCAGAAACCATCGCAGGGCTCCGCACCGAACTCCAAGCCCCGTTGAAGCAGAACCGCTCGAGCCCGTCCGCAGATGATCAGCTTGCGCACTCCGAACGGAACGGCTCCCAGCACAGATGGAAGATCTCACTCGAGAGGGACCAACGACCGTGTGGCCTGTCGCACTGGCGCCGCCAGCTCCCGGAAGTCACTGCTGCGCGGCGGCGACGGAGGAGGGAGGGAGGCATCGAGCAGCGAGCAGACGACAGCGAACGCGCAGAGGCAGGAGGAGCATCGAACAGCAAGATATCGAAGACGCCTACGGCGAATCACCGCCGCCCCCTGCCTTTTTGGAAACGCCGATGTGGCCGAAAGTTGGACTAGAGCTTGGCCAAGCTATCGGACCATGAGTTCCCCGAGTCGGTTTGGAAAGCTTTCGGGGAACACATGGGAGAGAATGATTATGAACAGGAAGAGGAAGAGGAAGAAATAGAGTAGGAGGATGAGGGTTGTTAGGAGTCTCTTGGGGCACCCTTGGGGTCTGTTGGGAGCTTCTTGGGGGCCTCTTCGAGGCCTCTTGGAGGCATCTTGGGGGCCTCCTTGGGCCTCTTGGGGGCCTTTGGGGGCTTCCTGGGGGTCTCTTTGGCCGTCTTAGGGCGTTCCTGGTCCGTCTGACGCCGTCTGGAGCCGTCTTGGGGGCCTCTCTGGGCCGTCTTGGGGCCCTCTTGGGGCGCTTCAGGGCCGTCTTGGAGGCCATGTTGGGCGTCTTGGAGGCCTCTTGGGCCGTCTTGGGGCGCTCTTGGGGCCGTCTTGGGGGGCCCTTGGGCCGTCATAGGGCCTTCTTGGAGGCCTCTTGGGCGATCTTGGGGGCCTCTTGGGCCGTCGGAAGGCCGAAAAGAGAAAACGCAAAAAACCTTCAAAAACCTAAGGAAAACCAATGATTTTGGCCTCTTCGGGCTCTCCTGGAGAACGTCTTGGAGGCCTCTTGGGCCATCTTGGAGGCATCTTGGGGCCATCTTGGCCGTCTTGGAGGGCATCTTGGGCCGTCTTGGAGGCATCTTGGAGCCATCTTACCCGTCTTGGAGGCCATCTTGGCCGTCTTGGAAGCATCTTGGAGGCCATCTTGGGCCATCTTGGCCGTCTTGGAGGCCATCTTGGGCCAAGTTGGGGCAACAAAGGCATTGACAGACGGATTTTCGGAAATTTACGGGTGGCCGGCGGGACGGGCCGAAGCCCACTGGGGAGTTCTTTTAGAAAAAGAACCAAAACCAAAACCTGAATCATCCAGCACGCCGTGCACCCCTGCAAGCAGGGGGCGGCGGATCGAAGACGCCTACGGCGAATCACCGCCGCCCCCTGCCTTTTTGGAAACGCCGATGTGGCCGAAAGTTGGACTAGAGCTTGGCCAAGCTATCGGACCATGAGTTCCCCGAGTCGGTTTGGAAAGCTTTCGGGGAACACATGGGAGAGAATGATTATGAACAGGAAGAGGAAGAGGAAGAAATAGAGTAGGAGGATGAGGGTTGTTAGGAGTCTCTTGGGGCACCCTTGGGGTCTGTTGGGGGCTTCTTGGGGGCCTCTTCGAGGCCTCTTGGAGGCATCTTGGGGGCCTCCTTGGGCCTCTTGGGGGCCTTTGGGGGCTTCCTGGGGGTCTCTTTGGCCGTCTTAGGGCGTTCCTGGTCCGTCTGACGCCGTCTGGAGCCGTCTTGGGGGCCTCTCTGGGCCGTCTTGGGGCCCTCTTGGGGCGCTTCAGGGCCGTCTTGGAGGCCATGTTGGGCGTCTTGGAGGCCTCTTGGGCCGTCTTGGGGCGCTCTTGGGGCCGTCTTGGGGGGCCCTTGGGCCGTCATAGGGCCTTCTTGGAGGCCTCTTGGGCGATCTTGGGGGCCTCTTGGGCCGTCGGAAGGCCGAAAAGATGAAAACGCAAAAAACCTTCAAAAACCTAAGGAAAACC